GTCCTTTCAGGACGTAGACGATCATGGCTCTCTCCACCTCCCTCTATCCCTTTCAGCTCTCAACAAGTTCCTTCCCTCTGCCACCTCCTCCAGACCACGTTCTGTCATCCACTTGCTTAAGTCCGCCACATATGTCACGCGTTGTTTTCCCTTGTCTCTTCTTTCCTTCTATTCGACCCGTGTGTATCTGATTCTCCAGGCCCTCCTTCTTCATTGTGTGTCCCAGAAATTTCAGCTGCCTCTTCCTGATTTTAAGTATAAGCTTTCTCCTTGTTTGCATCCCCTCTAAGATCTCATCGTTGCTCACACGCTCGGTCCATGATATCCTTAGCACCCTTCTCTAGAACCACATCTCTGTCGCCTCGACTCTCTTCTTCATGTTTGAGGAAATCGTCCAACATTCGCTGCCGTAAAGAAGAACAGATGTAACGTAATATTTCAGTATTCTTTTCTTCGTTATAATAATAATAATAATAATAATAATTATTATTATTATTATTATATGAGTATTAATATTATGATATCCATAGCATCCTTCTGTAGAACCACGTCTCCGTCGCCTCAAGTCACTTCTTCATCTTTGAGGAAATCGTCCAACATTTGCTGCTGTAAAGAAGAACAGATGTAACGTAATATTTCAGTATTCTTTTCTTCGTTGTTATTATTATTATTATTATTATATGAGTATTACTATTATGATATCCTTATCGTCGCCTCGAGTATCGTCTACATCTTTGAGGAAATCGTCCAACATTCGCTGCCGTAAAGAAGGACAGATGTCACGTAACACTTCAGTATTCTTTTCTTTGACATTAGATTTCTTTTAACTTGGGAGTCACAACTTTCAAGTAACATTATATATGCTAGTGGATACTGCTGGACTGAGAAGCGTTTCCCCAAAAGGTTCTCTTGTTTGGTTATTTCGTTAGACTATGGGAAGTGATTCGGTCCAAAAATTTTTTCGGTACAACCTCATGCATATGATCTTTTTTTTTACAGTAAGGTTCACCCTGTACAAACACAGGGGGTCACTAGAGGTAATAAGGAGGCAATTTATATGCATAGGAGGGGAAGATAACGATTGACATTAGAACATGTTGAGATTGTTCCACAGAACTGCCCGCAATCGCTGCAAGAGAGTTCTGGAAAATGCCAAGTGCAGCTACACGCAAATTGGCCAGGCCAAGTTTGAAAAGAAACAGATTGGATCTCGCGAATTCTGGAAGATCGCCAACCAAATTATGAACAGAAGTAAAGCGGCTGTGCCCACTATAATAAATGACACCGAGGTCATATCTTCCTCGACAGACAAGGCGAAGCACTTCGCCTCGATCTTTGCCTCAAACGTCCCTTCTCAAACTTCCCATATCTCACTAAGCACAATCCCAGTAATATACTCATTTTACCAAGAGAAGTCTCTCGACTTATCAACCCAACCTGATAAAGGTCACTGGCCCAGACAAAATTCCAGTGGTTGTCCTTAAGAATATCAACCTAGAACGATCACTTGATTGATGGCAAAATGAATATGAGCAGAAGATATGGAAATATTTTTTATTTAGATCGGGAATACTAAAGTTTAAAGCTGATGAGGACGATGATTCCAGTTTTATAGTACCAGATTATGCAAAGCCATCGAAATATGCTTGGAAAGAGAATTAAACTTGAATAAAATATAATAGCAAAAAATATATCACAATATATTAGATTGAGTCATAAGTAATTTTCGTTTTAGGGAACCAACTGTAATGACGAATGTATCAGCCTAAGTCCTACTCATACGTAGCAGTTAAAAATAGATTTAGACTACACTAACATACCTTAGTTTTGCACAATAGCGGCCGCGTATACAGTGGATTAAAGAAATAAATGTTGTTCTCCATGACAAAACAATGCCGTACACAGCAAAAATAACACATGACAAATTTTAGAACATGAGTGTGACTGTTCTACCCGACCTGTCACATTCATCTCATCGTGCACCAACCGATTATTACCATTTTCGATCACTGCTAAACGTCTTGATTGGGAAAACTTTCTCTAAGGAAAATCAAATTCAAGAATTCATTGAAAAATTTTTCACGTCAAAACCTGTGGAATTTTATCAAAATGATATCGAAGAGCTGCCTGGTGTGTAGCAAAAGTCTTTCAAAATAATGGTGACTATATAATTTAATAAAATGTAATAGTACTTTATTTATTGAAGATAAACAATACAGAAATAATTCATGACTCAGACTAATAACATAAGCATAGTACGATGGTGGGGTGAAAAGTTCATAGACTGACTATGAAGGAGTGATGATGGAGCTGTGAAATCTTACATGCGTTAATTTCAATTCTTCTTATTAATAACTGCATTGTTTATCTTTAGGTAAGACGTTGGGCTGAAAAGTTCATGGGTTCACTATGAAAGAGTGATGATGGAGCTATGAAATCTTACATACATTAATTTCAAATCTTCTCGTTAATAACTGCAGTGTTTCTCTTCATGTACAAA